TGCAAAGCAAATAAATCCAATAAAGCCTGTTCTGTAGTCCATCTCGGTCTGTCACATGGGGGGAATCAAGGGTGTTGATAACTCAGACCCGAGGGTTTTCAGAGAAGCAAAGTGATCTTAGGAGGTTGTGGGAGGCAGAAAGGGCCTCCACACAGGGGTGTCTGACCAAGCCATAGCACCAGGTGGGTGTTTGTATGGGGAGAAATGGTATCGGAGAGGTTTTCATGTGTGGAAACACCTGGGGAGCAAAGAGACAGGTGGGAGAGGGGATGTAACTAGGGGTGAGGGGGCAAGATAATGGCGGTTATACTGCAGCCTGGTCCAGGGACTTGGTCTGAGTCCTATAGCAAGAAGAGCTATTGTAACAAGCCATTATCAAGCAGAAGGGACCCCACTGTACCCCAGTAACAAAGCATTCACACAGCATGAGCAAGTGGAAGGAATGATATATCAGGTGTAGAGAGGGCCAGGTTATAAATATTTGTAGTATTTGCAGGGTTCAGGTAAAGGTTCAGTTATGAATCCACACACCTTATATCTAAAAATATTTGAAACATTTCTATCAACAATATATCAACTAGCCATTAAATAAAATTTATCTCCTTCCATGACAAATGTACCTTCACAACCACCTGAAAGGCCACGCTGGGACTTCGAATTCTCAGACTCCCCTAAGTTCTGCTCTAATGGTGTGGAAAGAGCTTCCCCACTCCCCACCGCAGCCCCTGCCTCCCTCACCCCTCAGGCCAGGCCCCATGCACTGTTCCTTAGGGCTGGGAGCACCTAACCAGCAGTGCAGCAGCCCTCCAAGGACGCTTGCTCCAAGAGAATAACATAGGATCTGGGATGCCAGGTACCTGGAGCATGGGCTGGCAGCGGTATACCCCTTGTTCACACGGGCTGAGTTGTTGGCCTCACATGGAGGGGGGTGGTGGCGAGGGCCGATGTGGGTTTTCAAAGCACAAGCTCAGGATAGAGGTTCCTCTTCCCTGGGTCTAAAAGCAGTGCTATAGTAGAACCAATATGAAGCCCCTCAAACCACACTACATGGAAAAACTAGTGGCCTGCCTTTTCATTTTAGGTAATGATGACAAGGGGCCTGCCTGTGCCTCTGTCTCGCCATGTGGTACTAGCCATAAGGAATGCATGATAGTGTATTTTAAAATGTTGGCATTGGTTTCAAGAAAGGTTTGCAGATGTGCTTTCACATTAACAGGCATAGGCAGAGCATCCATGCACACCCACCACCAGGCTGAAGGAATATTGCATTATAGATAGAGCTGAACAGCGCCCCCTCCCGCCGTCAAGGCCTCCCTTTCTTTCTGGGAGAGGTAACCACTAACCTAAATGAGATGTTTATTCCCTGCTCCCGCCTGTTCCACGTTGCTAAATTTGTATGCATCTCTCATGCACATGCTTTTTATTCCAGACTTTTGTATCCACAATCAATAATCAACATATGGTGGGGGATCATTCTGCATGTTCTTAAGACTTCCTATACATGGTATCATCTCTATCCTTCTGGAACCAGCTTTTACCCTAATGCATTTTTCTGCTGCGATCACCCAATTTTAGCACCTCTGTCACACACACACACCCCACCCCGGTAAGTTCTAGTTTCTTTCTAAGCCCGGACCTTGCCATCTTGTTCAGTTTACCTGCAACAGTCCAAAGGAGTGAAATTAAGGCTGGTCCTTCCTTGTAGGAGCTGAGGGGTGGGTGGAGGGTCTCAGCACCTTACCCTGTGGCTCTAAGTGCTTCTCAAACAGCTGCATCAGAACCCCCTGGAGGGCTTGTTAAAACACAGATTGCTGGGCCCCACTCCCAGAGTTTCTGATTCTCAGATCTTGGATGGGCCTGGGCATTTGCATTTCTAACAAGTTCTCAGGTGATGCTGACAACACTAGTCCAGAGTCTACATTTGGAGAACTATTGCTGTAAATCAAAGTCAAAGCCCAGGTTCAGAGCACTATCTGGCCTCCAGGCACACTGGCCATTCATGACATTTCCTTCAAAACTGCTCAGCAGTGCTGTCCAATACACACACAACGCGAGTCAAGTGTAATTTTAAATATTTTAGTAGCCACGATAAAAATGTAAAGAGAGACTGTTCAAAGTAATTTTTAATGCTTTATTTCATTTATTCCAATACACTATCATTTCAATATGTAATAAGTTATTAATATCTTTTAAAGTATTTTTTACATTCACAGAACACTCCAGAACTTAGCCACATTTCAAACGTGTAGCAGCAACACGTGGCTAGCGACTAAAAAATACAGTGTAGCTCTAAAGGCTTGGCCTCCATTTCTCTCTTTACAAAAATTGTTTTACATTTGACACTGAACACTTGGGCTGTGATAAAGGAATGTAAGCTTCCCAAGTGGTGGAAAGTGATGCTTTAACAAATGGTAAAGTTGGCCAATACAAGAAGGTAAAACAGGTTTGAGTGTTATTTACCCTTTAAAAATCTGCCTATGTTTCAACTTATCTAAAACAAACTTAAAACGTGAACACATGCTATTAAATACATCTGTAAAAGGTTAGAGAACTATCACGTCAGTGGATGTCACTTTTCAGGTGATGAAGTGAAGAACAGATTCTTTCTTCTTTCTCCATCCTTTTCTACTCCTTAATAGGAAAATGAGAGAAAATCAGTTATACAGTAACCAGCATCAACTACTTTCTAAATGTAAGGAAATCATCCTATATAGATATATGTATCTGCTGCATTTGTGTGCTATGTCTCAGTAACCAGAGAACAACCCATTTTCCTCTTTCAATCTCACACCCTTGGATACCGAGTGCTCGTGTAACCAATGGCTTCAACCATGCAGCCATATCAACCTTGTCTCCCTCTTGTCTAACACCATAAATGCATTTTGTTTCCTGGGGTTTAAATAAATCTCTCCACCCTAAAAGCCTTTGCTTATTCCACAAATGGCTGTTCTTAACCCTCCCAGGCCCTCAGTTCCCAGATCTAGCACACGAGAAAGAGGCTGTTATTATGAAATACACAGCTGTGAAAATGCGAAGGAAAATGTTTATCATTTAAATATACTAAAAGAATTACCGATTCAGCGATAAACAATAATAACCAGAGTTTCCTCTGATTGTCACATAAAGAGAAAAAACCAACAGCTGAACAAATGTGTAGGTATTAACATTAAATGCGTTCCTACTTGAAATTCTTTTTTTTTTTTAATTTTTTTTAATAGAGGCATGCTTTATTTATTTATTTGTTTGTTTGTTTATTGTTTGTTTGTTTTGATTATACATGCACTGGGTACAGTCAGAAGCACGGGAGGGTGAGAGAATTCACCAGAGCCAGAGCGGGGAGCAGAACAGGCAGAAGGACCGAAGTACACTGCTGAGGGGAGCAGCGGGCGGCAGGAGAGGTCTGCGCGCCATGTGGGACCCTCCTCTGGTGGCCAGGGAGCAGCCAGGGGATCGAACCGGCGCCGCAGACGCTGCGGGCAGCTTCGCAACCCAGCGCTCAACCACTGTGCCACCGGGGAGGCCCCCCTACTTGAAATTCTTAACTTTGTGCTTTTTGTAAGTAGTGAGGTTCCGAAGGGCACCGTCTCCCACTTAGCACAGGAACTGCTGTTCTGTGGCCAAGTAATGAAGGCCCAACTAGTGCACAGCAGCTGCTTCCAGTAACTGTTTTCTAAACAAATATTGGTCTTAAGTATTGACACCTTTTGTGCTTGTTTGTAGTCTTACAGAAGACAAAAATGAGTAGCCATCAAGTATACCGAGTTTTATTATACTGAGTATTCTATTAACATTCTAGGAAGCTAAAATTGAATTTTAAGCTAATTTTAAACACACTTGTTCTTAATTTACTGGGAGAATTAAAAAAAAAAAAGTTGTCGCTAACAGGTGACTGCCAGGAACGGTTGGGTAGTACTCTAAGCCATAAACACGTACCTGGAATCCGGGCTTGCTCTCTTCCTGGTCCGGATCCTTTTCTGGTCCGCCTTGTTTTCTGTTAACTTTCTCTCTTTCCTCCTCAATCCCAGCATAGCATCTGGGCCTCTGCACCACAGTTTTCATACTGATATTTCATTGTTTCTTTAGTAAGAATAATACAGACTTTGGGACATTTATAGGAAAAAATACCCAATTTATAACCAACAGTGGCATCCAGTCTTCTGCCCTCAGGAGAGCAGCGGGATAGAAACAGCTAAGAAAAGAGTAGCCGGGCCCTTCCCTACTGGCCGACACTCCACTGCCACGGGCCTCACATTCCTGCGGCGGTCTCTTTCCACAGTGGCATCATTTCTCTCTCCAGTAAACCTGCCGCCCTGCGCAGCCCATTACTTCTGGCCCTTGGGACAAGGGGTGGGGATCATCGGGCCTAATGCAGCCTCTATGTGTGGTCAGAAACATTTTGGAGAATTTATTTTTGCCTCAAGGACAACTTGTATGGTGTAGCTCCATGGTTCCCCAGCCCCCCGAAGACTTAATTTTTACCAAGGGTTCCTGTTTGGTATCAGCTTTCCAAGGATCTTGACTTTTTTTTAGTCACAAACCAAACACACGAGGGATGGAGTTCTCTGGTTCTTCTCCTTCTGGCTTCCCTTGTGTTTCCTCCCCAGGCCCCTCCTGAGCACTCACCTCCCACCGACATTCCTCTGTGGCTCTCAAGCTGCCCCAAGGGTCTCAGATCTCTTATCTGAGGGCGAGGTTGGTAGAGGGCAGCCATTAAGTCTCAGGACCGCAGAGGTCATGATGGAATGGGCTCCCCGGGGCCACCCCCCCCCGCCCCGCCTGGGGCTCTAGGGGCTGCTGGTGCCCCGGAGGAGGTCCCCCACCCCCACCCGATCCTGTCCAGCCTTCCTCCCGCCCCCCAGCCCGGCCCCCCTGCCGCCGTCCTCACCCTCAGGGGCTGGGCCCATCGCCCCCAGCTCCTCCGCGGGCTCCAGGGCGGCGGGGCCCACAGCGGCTGCCCCGGCCAGACCCTGGGCCTCCGAGGCCTTGGGCCCCTCGGCCTGCGGCTCGGGCGCCTGCAGCGCGGGCAGCGGCTGGGAGGCCTCGGGCGTGCGAGGCCGGGGCCGCACCATGAGGCGGCCGCCGCGGGTGCGGATGAGGACGTGGTCGTTGTAGTAGATGCGGTACAGCAGCGAGTGGACCATGTCGAGGAACATGAAGCGGAAGCCGGCCATCGGGAAGTGGTACGAATCCACCACGGCGTCCAGGCCCTGCGGCAGCTGCTCCTCCTCGGCCGGGCCGAAGTCGGAGTCCTCGCTGCTCCAGCTCCCCGGCGAGGGCACCAGGGCCATCGCCGGCCCCTCAGCGAGATCCCCGAGACCGCCCGCCGCGCCGGCGGCGTCGGACCCCGCGCTCCCGCCCGCCACCTCTCGGGCCGCCGCGCGCGGCCGCCACACAGACGCCCGGCTCCCCGCCGCCCGCCACCCCACAGTCGGCGAATCTTCCCGGGGCCCCGGTCACCCCGAAGCTGCCCAGAGCCCCAGTGATCC